TTTTTAATATCTTCACCCACCCGAAACCCCCCACACAAAAATTAGTTTTTTGAGGGGGTGGGGCTGGGGATGCGCCGCCCCATGGCCCTTCCCGAATCTCGAACGCCCCTCCCCACTGGCCGCTATGCGGCTGCAAAGGCCGCGCGGACACGTCCGCGGGGTCGCGACCTAGGCTGCGGCCGCGGATGGCCGCCGCCGAGGGGGATTCATAGGATTCGGGCCAAATTAGTCGGTTTCGATTTCGTTCAAAAAAAAAAAAAAAAGCCCCAAATTATTAGCCGGTTGACTCGGTCTCGATTCCGGCGTTAAAAGAATAAAAATGTCCGTTTTGACAAAGTCGCTATTCTGTGATATCCCAGATATTCCTCCATTTTTTCGAAATTCCAGCAATATCCGGTTGACCGGTTGTAATGTGCCAATTTGTGAAGATATGGTTTGTATCTATGGGACGCTGGACCCGGTTTCCAGCAGGTGCTGCTCCCCACCAATAGATGGAGCTCGTTTTTGTAAAAAAAAAAACAAAAAAAAACAAAACAAAGGGGCATTGTGTTACGATCACTCCGGGTAGACTGTGAGGACCCCGGCCTCAGCATTCTCATTGATAATATCAGCCTTGGGCACTGGGCCCTTTTTTTAAATAAAATTATAATAATAATTAAAAAAAAAAAAAAAAAAAAAGATAAAGATCTTCTTTCCATCTGTAAGTCTACACGGTCGAGCTTATTGCTTACTCGGTCGGAGTTGGAATTGTGTTGGGACCCCTTGGCCCCTTCACCAGTGGGGGTTGATCCTCTCCTGTCCAATTGGGCCCATAGGTCGAAGAAGTTTGCTTTTTGTTCCCGTTGATCGAAATGCAGCAGATACCTTGGTGTTGTGTCCACTGCTCTGCTCGCATATTCAACCGATCACCTTAGACTGGAACAAGTCTTTCATGGTTGAGGTCAGGGAGCAGAATGTTTTCTTGTCAGATATGAGAGAGGCCTTTTTGAATTCGGGGTTGTGAAGGATCGATAAATGGGACCCGCAAGGGAGATTCGGCCATGCCTTTGTGCTTCCAAAGCATAAAGACCTCACCAGGTGGCAACCCATTTCCCCTACTTTTGCTGAGCCAGCGAAGTTGGCTTCCTCGCGCGTGGTGCGTGCTCTGAACAGTTTGCTTTTTGCCCTTCCTGCTGCTTCCCACGTCAACTTGAAGGCAGTGGATGATCTCAGGGATGGGGAAAGTGATCGACGTAATAGGTGATGTCGTTGACTTTTTTTTTGTTGTTGTTGTTGACAAACCAGTCCTGCTGCTAGGGAGGGTGATACTAGCACCACTCCCCCTACTGTAGCAGTCATCCTGGACGCTCCAGTCTATTGTTGGTGGGGAGCCGCACCTGCTTGCTGTCTGCGTCTTGCGATGTCAAAGATATGTTTGTGTCGCTCCCTCATTCCGATATCCTGAAAGCAGTTGATTGGCTCCTGCATATCTATCACGCGAACTTCGAGAAGGGTTGTATGGGTGTTTCTGTGGTAAAGCGTCGGAAAGGGGCCTTTTTGTCATATGGTTCTAAGCGGGAAGGATCCATTTTCGTGGATCTTTGGGAAATGGGTGAGATGGTGGATTTCGACCTCAGATTACCTTTATTTGGTCAGCTACTGTTCTGTCGCAACAAGTTATAGGTGTGCCCGGGGGGCAAATCGACAAGTTGTTCGCTGGCGTGTATTTTATCTGCGTGTGCTGAGAACCGCTTCCTGTGTAGTCTGGGGGCTGATAGGCGATTTGTTTTTGGTTTTCGTGTTGTAGATGATGTAAGTGTTTCCGTTGCGGTACGAAACGGAATGGAGCTGCTCATGCGGGGATATCCGACGAAACTGGTCGCGATGGTTTTTCGGAGATTTGCCGGTAAGGTGAATTCCCCGGAGGCCCTTATCATTACGAGCATGAGTACGAAGTATATTTCCTTTCCTTTTCTTTTTCTTTGGCAAGGTGCCCACCAACAGCCGGCCCGTAGGTGCCGACGGGTGGAACGGTCGGTTGGTAGGGCGCAGACCAATCGAGGTGCGCCTACCATGGGCATGATTACGCTGATTTTTGGGTACATAGTACATACCTCTTCATCAAGATCCCCATGCATTCCGTGCCTGCTGTCTGTGATGGCATTTTGAAGCTTAGAGAATATCCTTGAAAGAAAAGCCTTTTTATCGTCGGCAGCTATCTGTCGTGATAAACGTTGTCTGCTACCTGTGCTCCCAGTCTGTGACTTGGTTTTTTCCGAAGAGCTCTCCTCCTCTGCGGCGGATCCTGTGGCCTGCATTCTTTCTATGATACTTAAGAATGGTGAGCTGTGATGCGACGATCCATGTCGTGAACTTGTTTGGGGCGAATCATGCCCATCCTTGCCCAATGTCCCTGTAAGGCCTTGATGAGAATATGCTCTTCGGGGTTCCGATGAGAACTCCCCTCTTGCTATTGTGGTGTCTGCACCATGATGGGGCTTCAGCTTGTCAGCTGCTCCTGGCGATGGCCACTCTTTTGAGTAGTTGCCTGAGTGCTGCCTACTAGTGGCATCCACATCCATCTTCATTAGAAAAGGATCTATAAGACCCAGTTGAGATTTCCGCCTGTTGAACAGCGAGGGCATCCTCCGCAAGGTTGGCGAAAAGCTGAACCGTGAAGTCCTTCGTTCTGGCTTGTAAGAAGTGGAGGGGTGAATTAGGGGGGTGTCTGGCAGGGGTGGGTGATCAACCTCCCTTGGAGAGCTCACTAAGCCTCTTCGAGTATGCTCTGGGTGGGAAAGAGTTGACGTAGTAAAACTACTACGGTTTCGCGGGCTTTTGTTGGCTGTCGAAGGTAGGTGATTGATCTCTTCGGAATCCAGAGAGGTCAGGGATCCTTTTTGTGTTTTATCCACCTGCGGATGAGTTGCGGTAAACTGAGTTAGCAGACTTTGGTTGCCTGCCAAAGGCTGACGAGTCGCCTCTCTCACAAAGCTCGCCATATCTCGTCGACTGCTACCTGGATGGGACGATGGTGCAGTCGTAAAGCTCTCGCACAATGCGCTTTCAAATTGGTGGCTTGCCAGGGGTAGCTGATGGGTGTCGGTCAGCGGACCTTGTCGCGTACCATCTGGGTGCGGGGGATGATTTACCATGGTGAAACTCTCGCTTCGTGGGCCCCTTTGGTCGCTCGCCAGAGGCAGGCGATGGACTTCTTGTGCTGCGGTCGCCGAACCTCTTCGCGCACTGTCTGGGTGGGGATTCTTAACAGTAAATTGGCTTTGGTTTCCTGGCAAGGGCAGCTGATGGGTGTCGGCCAGCGGACCTTGTCGCGTACCATCTGGGTGGGGGGGATGATTTACCATGGTAAAACGCTCGCTTCGTGGGCCCCTTTGGTCGCTCACCAGAGGCAGGTGATGGACTTCTTGTGCCGCGGTCGCCGAACCTCTTCGCGCACTGTCTGGGTGGGGATTCTTAATAGTAAATTGGCTTTGGTTTCCTGGCAAGGGCAGATGATGGGTGGCTTTCAGAATGGTTACCGGACGTCTTTGAGCAGCATGTGGATTGGAGTTAGTTGCATCGGCAAAGCTCTGACATGGCGGGCTTTGGTCGATTTGCCAAGGGGGATCACTGGAAGCAATCGCCGAGGCTTTTTTATTGTCATCTAGGGGCCCCGGGGTAGGAGTTGCAGTAAAGCTCTGCTCTTGGCTACCTTGTGCCTGAGTGAGTGGGGTATACAAAGGACCGCCATTGGTCTCCGGATGTTCCTCACGTCTGTCTTTTGCTCCCCATGATGACCAGGATTCCGAGGCGCCTACGCCTTCCCAGCCTGCAGCGCCAGGCGAAGGAGATTGATCCCGGTCGACAATGACTGCTGTTGATTCCACCGAACTTCTACTAAGGGCTGAAAAACTCTCTCCAGGTTGCCTGACACCCCCCGTTGAGGACGGGTCATTCCTGCCCTTGGTAGAGACATCCATGTCATGTAACTCGTGCGATCCTCCTGTAGATGAGTACATGGACCTTCCACCGATGTCCATAGCACCTAAGTCCTGCCAACTATCCTCTAAAGAGACCTCAGCGGCTTTTCCCGATACTATGCCATTTGCGGTGTGGGGTTCGTGACTGTTACTTGGTGCAGGGTTAGCGTATTTTTCAGTTATCGAACCCCATTCTGATGAGCTGGGCTTGAGAGAAAGAGATGACCCTGAAGGTCTCAATTTGTCACCGGCATTTGCTCCCCATACCGATGGCCTCGGCCTCCGAGAAAGAGACGCTCTCGGAGGTATCACATTGCCACTGCCGTCTCCACTAACAGTAGTCCTTGGCTGTCGACCATCGGATTTTGAAAATGCGGAAGGAATGAGGTGAAACGGAGTTGCTCTCTTGTGATCTACGGCCCCTCTGGAAAATGTTGCATGCTCATTGCTCGTATCTGGGTTGCCGATGATCCTTGTGCTGCTGTCTTTCTGGAGTCTCCCGAGACCCCCATCTTGATGATCGACACTGGTAGCTGCTGCAGTTGGCCGCCGCCCTGCCACACTTGATGTGTTTGGCTCCCATGCCGGGGTCACCGCCATTTTTCCAGTCCTGGATACCACTGGATGGTTTGGGACATTTACCTCATAGTTCCGAGGGGTCGTTGGCTGCGGCGACAGGTCTTTTAAAGGCCCCTGGAACCGGTCATTCATGCCGGGCCACGTGCTATCCGAGAACCCGGCGTCTGCTTTTTGCTTTTGTCGCGAAGTAGGCATTGATCGGCAATCTGACATCCAATCGCTATAGTGATCATTACTGAGCTTCGGAGATTGCTGGGAAGGTTGCCAAAGACTCCGCCCTGGAGACCCAGGATGTAACTGTGGTGGTCCCACATTATGTGGTCTTCGCGGAGCCTCCGGCCCGCCGGACACGAGGGGCCGCTGTTGTGTGTTCTTCTGGATGAACATAGAGACACTGGCTAACTGCTTGATCAGCTGGGCGATGGCTTGGATGCGGACGTCCTGAGCACCATTAGGACCTAGCACACCAGAAAAAACAGAATCGCAGAAAAATCTGAAAAAGGAGATTTACAAGCGCCGCAACCCGAAAAACAATGTCAAACTGCACAGGTATGACATTGGGCCATTATAGTTTGAAGTGTAATAAAGAAGGAACTGGAGTGGTGATAAATGGGAAGGAGGGGGGATGCATGCTGCCCCCCGGCCCAACGATGGTGGAGGGAGACAACAAAGCTATGTTCGCAAGGGTCCCCTGTATAAGACTTAGGAGTAGTGGTAGGTAGGTAGGTAGTGAAGGTGAATTGAAAGAGAGCATTCGAAAAGAGGCCACTCGTTATTCATAGTTTTCTAACCTCTCCTTTAAGAAAAAAAAAAAAAAAAAAAAAAAAAAAAGTTTTCTAGCCTCTCCTTTAATTTTCTTGAATCTCCTCAATAGTTCCCAGATTGATTCTTATCCGAAAGAACCGGGTAATGGCCCCGGTATCTCAAAAAATGACTTGTGTAACTCTACATGGGACGCTGGGCCCGGTTCCCAGCACGTGTTGCTCCCGACGAATAGATTGGAACATTTKTCCCCCMCCCCCCCCCCCCCCCCCCCCCCCCCCAAAAAAAAAAAAAAAAAAAAAAAAGGTGAATTGAAAGAATTTGAAAGATGATGAAAGATTTGAGAGAAGAATATAGCCTAGTTCAAAACTAAAAGTGTGCCGCAGCCACAGTTTCCCCATTAAAAAAAAATAAAAAATGAGATATACAACTATAACTAGCTTTTGAACGAAAGCAAGTAGTCTCCACAACAGGAGCAAAAGCAAACGAAGGCCAGAGTCGAAAAGAAACAGGCCAATGGGTGCCTGTGAACAAAATACAGTTCATTTTATAACCGCCCTACAATTTTACAAGCCCGATGAAGCTCTGGCGTGAGACCAACCAAACAACAGAAAGAAGGAAACAAGGAACACACTTTTTTTTTTTTTTTTTTTTTTTTTTAACCATACACTGACTATTTTACAAGAAATGGAAACAAAAACTTGATTCCAAGCAACTTTACAGGAAAAAAAAAGCGGAGAATAGTACTATCGATTTACTATTTAGTATTTACTATTTTTAGTTTTTAGATGGTGGGGAGGCGATAGCACGGTCTGGTTGGTTGAAGTTGACTCCTCTGGGTCCGCCGGGGGCCAGGTCCCACTTGCACGGAGATTACGAGATTCTGGCCGTTGATCTTTGCTATCTACGGTCAATATCGCTTAATAATTCGTGTAAGTGGGACGTAGCCCCGGGTCATGGCAGTAGAGATAAACGTAAAAAGTTAGTAAAAACATGTTCTCCCCATCATACATGTTTTTTCAAAAAAAAAAAAAAAAAAAAAGGAGCTGATCTGATGTAAATGGGACGCTGGACCCGCTTTCCAGCAGGTGATGCTCCCCACCAATAGATGGAGCTGTCTCCCGGGTGGTAGTGCTCATATATAATAATTAAAAAAAAAAAAAAGAAAAAAAAAAGGCGCTTTACTGTCGAGGAACCGATTACATCGTAAGTCAGCGTGAACGATCACGAAGACACAGCCCTTCCGGCAGTATGTGTTGTGCAAAACATGTTGCGGTGCTGCGTCTGTCGGATTCAGTTTCATCCCAGCTTACTTTGCCTTGTGGTATGTGTTTGATTTGAGATCCATAGGGGCCAGATCCCACTAGCAGCGTTGAGTTTCCTCAATGCCTGAATCTGGACGCGTTCGTCGAGATGTGAGGTTGAGAAAACTCAACGCGATTTCTGCACATATCCACGAACGCGTCCAGATTCAGGCGTTGATGAAACTCAACGCTGCTAGTGGGACCTGGCCCCAGGTTGCAGGTTCAATTCCTACTAGAGTGGGCGAGGGCAATTTCATTTCACTGGGGAGAGTTGGCTTCTTGTACTTGGAAGGCAATGAATGAAATGAGATATGAGTTGTTTTTTTTTTTTTTTTT